AAGGCCACCACCTTTCAAGAGGAACATCTCCATGGAGCAGCTCTTTGATGATAGAGCAGAGTTCAGGGAACCAAGAGATGGTCAAATTCTTCTGATAGAAGCACTGGTTACGGAAAAGCTCCTGGAGAGGCAACATGCCAGAGACCCATTTATGAGTGAAGGTAGATAGAAACTGCCAGACCACTGAATTATCCTGCCAAGTCAAGAACATATTTAACAGGCATAGCTTGGGTGCCAAGTAGAACAAAAGGGATTTTGAGGCTTAATAAAAAGCAGGGAGACTGACAGACCAAGTGAATGGTATGTTGAGTGACAGAGAAGTAGGTAGCAAAGGACATATTAAAAAAAGGATGAAAGAGCGTGCTGGAGCCCAGCTGGTAGTGAGGCTATCATTGACATCCAGTGAAGGAGCTTTGCTGGCTGATACTTGGCATCACTGCCTCTCTTGCTTTCTTAGACTGGATGGACACATGGCATTCAGCAGCAGAGCAGGGGAAGATGATTATTTCAGAATGGAGAACCGGTGAACGGATACGGAAAAGAAATGGGCTTGGTGTACCACTCTGTAATGCCTTGTTTACACCAAAGGCAGGTCTGTATCGACAGAACATGTCTGGGGGTCATGCAACAGCAGTACTTTGGAGAAGGGGAATAATGGGGTGGAGGTGGGGCTGGTGGATAGGAGGACTCTCAAATTTCAGTTCTTAAATACTAGAAAGCAAGGGACAGTTTGGTCTCAGTCCTTTAGTGAAGAAATCGGATGCTCATTTCCTGTTCTACATCCACCTTTTCCAAAACCTTAACAAATTCTGTGAAAGATATGGTGCTGTCCCCATCCTGATCAGCCTCCTGGATGGTCCTGTCTGCAGTGCTGCCCAGCTGCTCATCTGAGATATTCACTCTGACCTGTCATACATAGCACCTGAGAGTCGCGTTCTCTTCTTTGTCCAGGCTGGTGAATCGGCTGTAGAGGTGAGTGATCTGACTGTGCAGAAAGCCTGTCTCCTTTTTGATCTCTTTGAATTGTTTGTCCCGCAGTAATGTGGAGGCTGGAGACCCTGTCCCCAAGCGGGGATCTCCTCAAGAGGAGCAAGACCTGAAACAGTGCCGAAAGAGGGAGGGAAGAATGGAGGGGAGAAAAGGCTAGGGGTCAAAAAGGAAGAGCCCAAGAGAATTCTTTAGGGAACTTGACAAAATGATTCTACAGTTCATACGGAAGAATACAGATATATGGATAGCTAAGACAACTATGAAAAATAGAAACGAACAAGGAGAGAAGGGCTTGTCCCCAGATGTCAAGATGTGTCATAAACTCTAGAATTAAGACAATTGGTTATTGGTCAGGAATAGACAAATTAAGAATAGAGAACACAGAGCCAAGAAACAAATCCATGCACTAATGGGAACTGGATATATATCAGAGGTGCTGTCATGAATCAATGGAGGAAACAGCAAACAATTCAGTAAATGACATTGGGCTAAAACTTGGCCAAAAATTCACCTCAAAAATTGATTTTTAACAAAAATTTTTTAATAGAACAATTAGAACTTTTTGAATATCAAGAGACAGGGACTGGCCAGAGAGGTTGGTGGGGTTCCAAAACCACCTCTCACTTACTGACCTTGGGCAAGTTACTATGCCTGTTTCCTCATCTGTAAAATTGGATAATGATAGTACTTACATCATAGACTTGGTGTGAGGATTAAATGACTTAATCTAGGGTAAGCACGTACACCAGTCTTTGGCTTACACTTGCACTATAGAAGCCATAGTCATCACTGCCCTTTTAACCCCGATAACACAAAAACAAAAACTCACTCACTGCCATCGAGTTGGATCCTACTCATAGCAACCCCTTCTTGGGTTTCTGAGGTGGTATCACTACAGAAGTAGATTCCCCTGTCTTCCTTCCAAGGAGTGGCTGGTGGGTTTGAACTGCCAGTCTTTGGGTTAGCAGTTAAATGCCTTAGCCACTACGCCAACAGAGATCCCAGGCCCAGGTTAGTGACCTGGAATTCCATCCACCTTTCAACTAGGTCTGACAAATCTCTGGCTCTGCAGTGAAAATATTTACATAAGCATAATGTTATATATGTAAGTTGGTTTTCAACATTAAGAATCAGCCTACTGAAGGAAGAAATGATCAGGTAAAAGAGCTGAACAGAAGATTTCCAAGGGCAGCTCCAGAAGACTAAGTATTATAATGAAATGTGCAGTGTAGAAAACAAAACAAAACAAAAAATCAGCCTACAGGCAAAGTATAGCAAACTGAATCATTATTAAAGGATAGAAAGTAGACTCCATAAACCTTGACAATGAAAAAGTAAAAGTTAAGTTTAAGGAGGAAGGCAGAAATGATAAGAGAAATCACACAGAGGAGAGTTAAGAGATATAAGCTAAAAAGAAATGGAAACAACCTAAGTGTCCAAAAGTGGATGAACGGATGACCAGGCTATGGTACGTGCACACAATGGAGTACTATGCAACATTAAAGAATAATGAAGACTCCACAAATCACCTCATAACATGGATGAACTTGGAGGACATTATGCTGAGTGAAATAGGTTAATCACAGAAGGACAAATATTGCCTGAGTCCACTATTATAAAAAGTCAAGGAAAGGTTTATACACAGAAGGAAACTCTCTTTGTTGGTTACCAGGGATGAGAGGGGAGAGAAGGGAAAATTGCTAGCTGGAGAAGAGACACATATTGATTTGGGTGAAGGGAAAGGCAATATACCAAAATTGGGTGGCCAGCACAATAACACTGAGGAAAAGGAAAACACCGAGAGGTACACAGAAGGTATAGACAACAAAGGCAAATTCTTTTACCTGCACAATACTGCATTATCAATAATAACAAACATAAATTCACAGATGGATACAGAGGTAGACAGGCAAGATGATCAGGTATGTGTGCCTTCTTTCCTGTGCGTTCCCACCCTTGGAGATATCTCCCTGCACACACGCTGCCCTTCTGATCTACCATGCTTGACTGTTCTAAGGTGTGTACCTGCCTGGTGTAAATGTCACCTTGTAGGCCTGTCCACTTTCTGGCTGGAAGCCACAGAAATGAGTACAATTCCAGGCCCAAAGGGTGAGTAGGGGCCATAGTCTCAGGGGTTTCACCAGTCCCTATCAGACCAGTAAGCTTGATCTTTTTTTTTTTTTTTTTTTATGATTTTGAGTTTTGTTCCATATTGTTCTCTCATTCTATCCAGGATCTCCTACTTTGATCCCCTTCCTAGTGGTTGGCAGTGCTGGGCACCATCTAGTTTTTCTGGTCTCAGGTTATGTAGACTGAGGTTTCCCATGGTCCACTAGTCCCTTGGACTAATTGTTTCTGTGTGTCTTTGATTTTCTTCCTTCTTCTTTGCTCCAGATGAAGAGAGACCAATTGTTGCATCATAGATGGCCACTTGCAAGCTTTTAAGACTCCAGTAGCTGCTCACCAAAGTAGGATGTAGAACAATGTTTTTGTGTAGTATGTTATGTCACTTGAACTTGATGTCCCCCATGACCATGGTCCCAAGCCCACAGGCCCAGCAACTCACTCCTTCACGGTGTTTGGCTGTGGCTAGGAAGTTATCATAACTTCGCTCCCTCTTAACTCTATCATATCTGTGGACTTCTTATAGCACATGCAAATACATATGTAGAAATATCATCTGCCAAAGTTATATAGAGGGAGCTCTGGTGGCATAGTGCCTAAGGCATTTGACTGCTAACCAGAAGGCTGGCTGTTCAAACCCACCAGCTACTCCTCCAATGGAAGTTTGGGCGGTCTACTTTTGTAGTGATACCACCTGAGAAACCTAAGGAGGTCACTATGAGTCAGATCCGACTTGACGGCAGTGAGTTGTTGGTTTTTTTTATTTAAACTTATATATGGTCTTGAGCATATTCCCTTTCGCCTAGCTATCCCTTACCATTTTGTGGGTTCAGGCACTTTGAGTAACTCCCCACCACCCCAGGATCAAGTTTAAACTCTCAGGTAGCATTCAAGTTTCTTCACCAACTTGGATCCCTATACCCCGTTTTCCCTACTCCTCTTTCCTTATGGCTCCAACCCCTGCTTGAGAGTCCATTGAGAGCCCCAGCAACTGGTATCTCTGCCAGGAACCCCTCAGGAGGGAACGAGCGCCCCCTGCCGGACTGGGACAACAAAACATGGCGGGGGCGGGGGGACGGAGGGGACGCCTTTTCCGGTTCACGGTGGGCTCCGCCCCCATCCTGCGCTCAGTCTCTTGGTTTCACGTGATCCCAGCCCCTTCACAGCTTTGTGGTGGAACCCCAGGTTGGGGAGCCAAGGAACCTCGGATGAGAAAGACTGGATTGGCTGAGGTTGTGTTCACTTGGGAGTGGAGAGCTGTCCTGGTCAGGCCTGGGAAACCGGGTGGGGTGCCTATCAGAACAGGACCAACGTGACAGGGAGGGCAGGGAGGTTGAAAATTAACCCCATTCAGCGTCTGGTGGGTGCGGAGTAGTTTAGAACTAGGCCTTGAGCTGGGGTGAGAATCCGGGCTCCCCCGCTTCCCATTTGTGTGTTCTTAGGTAAGTCACTTAATGTCTCTGAATTTGTTTTCTTACCTGTGGTTGTCAACATGAAATAATGCACGTAAGTAATTGATAAATGGTATTTTTTTATTAGGGGATGCTATGAGTCAGATCTGACTCCATGGCAGTGAGTTTGGTTTGGTTTTATTTTTAGTTATTATTATATCCCATTTAAACAAAACTGTAAACTCTCAGAGATGGGGGCTAAACCCGTTTTGAAGCCAGGACTTCCCTCCCTCATCGTGGGCACTAGGACCTGTTGGGGTGCTTACATCCTTGCATGCTGTTTCCTGTGGCCTCTAGGGCATGGGGGACCAGCTGGAAGGGAGGCTGCCTCCCAGGTTCCCACTGGCTTGGTGTTTTGAATGGACTGGCAAGTCAGATCCTCCATGAAGTCTCTGTCTCCTGTGTTTTGCTGTTGGCCTCTGTAGGTAGACAGCCATGTCCCAGGAGGAGGCCACAGAGGGTTCCAACACAGAAGACCCTGTTCTCAGGCCCCAGGGCGACTCTGGGCTTTTCCAGGAGGACATGGAAGGAGTCAGCTTCATGCCAGTTCTGGTGCCAGATGGGCCAGGGGTGAACGCTGGGGCCAGAGTGTGGGCTGGCAGCAGGAAGCGGGTCCTTACGGAAGAGGCCCATTCAGGTATTAGCTCCCAGGTTGGGGATTCTCCTAGTGCCAGCCTGGGGGCAAAGGGCTTGGCACCTGGGTCCATATGGTGGTCCTGGAGCTGCCAGCTGTGGGACAGAGCCAGGACGTGATTCCTGTTCCCAGGCTCTGCCTGCAGTGCCGGCTCAGGGGAGGGCCTGGCCTCTGGGAGGCAGCAGCTTCCTCTGCCTGATGTCTTGACTAAAGCTGGACCAGGAATCTTGGTAGCATGTCAGTGAGAGCTCTCGTTGACAGAGGCCAGCAGGGGTGGGGGAGGCAAGCTACCCAGGCTGAGAAAGCCTGGAGAAGGTAGGACAAGTTCCCTAGGGTGTAGTGGAAGGAGCCCCACCCTGAGCAGAAAGGAGCCCACTGAAAGGGTCCTGCCATTGTGGCAAGCCCAAGCCCCTGTGGGGACGAGAAAGAAAAACAGGGTGTATGGGCCTTCTTAGAGGGCGGAGAGAGAGCTTGTGGCTTCCTGTGGCTTGTTGAAAGCCCCAGTGGGGACAGCCCCAGTCTGTGGGAGGCCTCCCCACAAGGCACTAACCTGGAGTTCTCAGGAGCTCCTTACAGTCCTCATCTCCCAGAAATACTTGCTCTGGGCCTGCAGATCCAAGTGTTAATTGGGTACAAGTACTTGGAGACTGAGAAATTTGAATATCTGCCCCCTGCAGGCGATGGGATTCAGCCAGGCAGCCCATATGGCCCCATTGAGCTCCTACTGCCCAGTGGAAGAAAGGCCCATAGGCCAGCCCCAGAGGACCCTCCACAGAGCCCTGCACTGTGCCTGCAAGTGTCTGGAGAGGTTTCTGCGGAGTGGCAAGAAGCTGAGCACCTCATGGGGACTGGCAGTGATGAAGGCTCGACCCCTTCGCACAGCCAGGAGGAGCTGGAGGTCAAGGCTCAGCCAGGGTACTGGGGGAGGTGGGAGTTGGGACTCCCTGTCCCTTCTGACACCCATGCCAGCTCTCTGGAGCCCTTGGCTAGCCTCAGCACCTCCCTAGAGCCTGCAGCCAGCAAAGCCCACGAAGGCCCAGTCAGGGACTGGAGAAGATCTAAGGATGCTATACTGAGGAGGAGCACAGACAACATAGTCAACTCCAACCAGGACCAGTCAGAGGAATCCAGCCCAGGAGGCTGCCTCAAACTGGTAAGTTAAGTCTCAAAGGTTGGATAGGAAGAGCCAGGCCATATTTTCCAGCATGCTGCTTGGTGGTAGAACTTCATAGAACTAAGGTGGATGGGCTCTTAATGAACATTATCCCTCATACTCATTTTATAGATGAGTAAACCAAGGCCCACACAGGTCAGGACAGGAAAAATAAACTACATTTGCTAAATTCCTATAAGAGGTCATTATCTTTTAGAATTGGTAAGTCCTGGGTTCAGATTTTGCCTCTGCCCACTTCCTAGCTGAGTGATCTTGAGATGTCAGTTATCTCTCATCTGAGCTTGCACATGTTCAAAGTGGTATACTGACGCCAACCTAGAGAGTCCCTGTGTGGTGCAAATGGTTAAGTGCTCGACTAGTAACCTAAAGGTTGATAGTTCAAACCCACCCAGAGCAGCTTGGAAGACAGGCCTGGTGATCTGCTTCTGAAAAGTCACAGCCTTGGAAACCCGATGGAGCAGTTCTACTCTGCACACAAGTGTTTGAGCCCCGTGTTGCAGCCACTGGGTCCAGTGCTTATCTTATTAAGCTATTGTTAACACTAAGTGAAAGTCAAATGTAATATGAATCAAGCAGTTCACCTTGTGCCTTATGCTATGTAACGTGCTAGGAATGTTACTGTACACCGAATCTCATTTCATCCTCAAAACAAGCCCGTTCTAATGGCTCAGACACAGCAACAGTTATGAGGATGGTGCAAGATGGGGCAGTGTTTTGTTCTGTTGTACGGAGAGTTGCTATGAGTCGGAGCCAACTCAATAGCATCTAACAACAATAAAAACAGCCCCATATTTCCTGTTGGGAAAACTGAGGCTCCCACACACAGCTAGGGAGTCAGTATCTGGCCATGTTCCCTATCTCTACTGTTCCCCCTCCCCTTGTTCTTTTAGTTAAATTGTAATAATCGTTTTATTAATAATCATAACTAACATGTTCATACACCAAAGGCAGAAAGCGGTACTACCTGTTTTTTGGTGTATAATTTTCAGGTAGCTGAATTTTTATCACATTTAACTAGGCACTTTCGATTTAATCTTCACATGAAGCCCAAAGAAGTAAGGTAATAGGTCCGAGGTCACACGGCTGGTAAGCGACGTAACCAGCACACAGACCCAGGTGTTCTGGCACGACAGCTTGCTGCATTGTCTGAGGTGGATCTTCCATGTTTCCATCACAGGAGTAATGACATCTAGCTTGCTTAGTGCATGCTGGGTACTGAACTAAGCAGTTCATGGGCAGTCTTCACAACATGAGGTAGATGCTACTGATACCTCCCCATTTTACTGATGTGGACACTGAGGTTCAGAGAAGTGAAATTCAAGGCCAAACAGCAAATAAGTAGTGGAGCTGGGATAGGAACCAATGAGCAGCTTGTGCAGTTTATCACTCTCCAAAGAAATGATGCAAATATTTAAGGCGCTTGGTTGCTACCTGAAAGGTTGGGGTTTCCAGTCCACCCAGAATGTTAAACAGAATAAAGAGGTCTCTTTCAGTGTCCTGCCACCCCTCCCCAGTCTTGCTCATCCATTGGAGATAACCACTTAGCATGCCTCCAGCCCCCTTTTAGTTAGTATATATAGATAATTATGTATAGGAATCCCTGCGTGGGGCGAATGGTTAATGCATGTGGTTGCTAACAAAAAGGTTGGAGTTTTGAATCCATCCGGTGGCGCCTTGGAAGAAAGGCCTGGTGATCTCCTTCCAAAAAATCAGCCACTGAGAACTGCATGGAACACAGTTCCACTGACATACATGAGGTCGTTATGGGTCAGAATCGACTCAATGGTAATTGGGTTTAGTATATATATGACCGGGAGCTCTGGTAGCATAGTGGCTAAGACACTTGCCTGCTAACCAGACGGCTGGCGGTTCAAACCCACCAGCCACTCCTCGGAAGGAAGGTTGGGCAATCCTACTTCCGTAGTGATACTGCCTCGGAAACCCAAGGAGGGGTCGCTATGAGTCGGGGCCGACTCGACGGCAAACAACAACAACAACAACAACAAAATATATATGACCACCACCCATCTGTCGGTTTATCCTACATGCACAAGTGACCTGTGTGTTGCTGTGAGGCTAGAAGCTATGCCACTGGCATTTCAAATACCATCAGGGTCACCCGTAGTTTCAGCACAGTTTTCAGACTAAGACAGACTAGGAAGAGGGACCTGATGATGTATTCCCAAATATTAAACTCACTGCCATAGAGTCAGATCCAACTCATAGCGACCTCTCCTTGGGTTTCTGAGGTGGTATTGCTACAGAAGTAGATTGCCCCATCTTCCTTCCAAGGTGTGGCTGGTGGGTTTGAACCTCCAGTCTTCTGGTTAGCAGTCAGGTGACTTAGGCACTACGTCACCACAGCTCCCAGTGCCATAGATCACAGCAGAATGTTGTCTGGTACGGTGCTGGAAGATGAAGCCCTAGGTTGAGAGGGACTCAAAACACACAAAGGCTGCGGTAATGGACACGAGCATACTAACGATTGTGAACACGGCTCGGGACCAGTCAACAGCAGTGAAGGTCACAATTGCTTCAGTCACCATTTCGTCTCAGAGCCGGCTTGATGGCAGAGCTGACAACAACTTGTATATGTGAACAGCGACACATTGAGCTACTTATATAAACACAGGCACATACAACCCCTTATTGTTCTGGGTCTTGCATTTTGTTTACTTTTTAAGCTGTATAGTGTTTGAAGATCTTTCCAGGTAGGTGAATATTGTTCCGCTGAACCTCTGCTTTCCTAAACTCTGCCTCACATCTGTCTACAGACTTCCTTTTCACAGCCACGGAGCACTGTCAGGATTAGATGGGCCGCAACCTCGTTTTCTCATTTCCAACCACTGTAGTATAGGGAAGAGCACGAGCCTGGAAGGCCATCAGACTGGCATGCCATCCTGTTTTTGCTGCTCTCTGAATGAACTAGGCTAGTGGCTTCAGCTTTCTGAGTGAATTTCCTTATCTGCAAAATGAGGGTATTAAGAGTACTCAGCTCAGTAAGAGGTCATTGGACATTTAAATGTGTTTGAGATTTAGCAGTGTCTGGTACAAGCAAAGTGCTTAAAGTTGGCATATACAATTTGTTCTGCTCTCTGGTGGTGCAGTGGTTAAAATATTTGGCTGTTAACCAAAAGGCCAGCAGTGTGAACCCACCAGCTGCTCCGTGGGAGAAAGATAAGGCAGTCTGCTTCCAGAAACGCTATGAGGCAGTTCTGCTGTGTCTAATGGGGTCACTATGAGTCAGAATCATCTCAATGACAATGGGTATGGTTTAGTTTAAGTAATGCCATTGTGAACATCCTGGAGGATCTGGCTTCTACTATTTCAGATTATTGAATCAGAAATGGGTTACTGGGTCTATAGCCCTTTGAGGGCCTATCTGAGCATGGTGGGGAGCCAGGTTCCTTAACTGGACACAACCCCAAGCTGCTCTCTCCTCTAGGCCTATCCTTAGCTCCTCAACAGAGCCTGTCTTCTCATGTTTTCCCAAATGACCCATTGCCATGGTGATGGGTGCCAGCTTAGGGAGAATTGAAGCTGAGCTGTGATACGGACGGAAGGGTGGTTGGGGGCAGGGCTGACTGGGGAGTAGGCAAGTGTGAGCAAGTGTGGACAAGCATGGGCAAGCACGGACAAGTGTGGACAAGCGTGGACGTAGTGTACAGCGGGCCTGGAGCCCCTTTGAGGCCTCTGGCACCTTCTTCTGGAGCCAGCCTGGCCTGTGGCAGGAGCACACAAACAAGTTTATGGTCAGGCTCTGCTTCTTACTACAGGACAATCCTAAAATATCTCTTCTCTGAACTTTAGTTTCCTCTTCTCTGAAATGGGAGAATCAGCTGGGCCCTAACACTGCTGGCAATGTGATGAGAGGGTGATCCTGTTAAATTCATCTGGCTTGAATCTTAGAGGGGACAGGGAGGATGGAATGCCAGCACCTCTGCCCTGAGCCCTGCTGATTGAGTTCATCTCGTGGTAATAGATTTATTCATGTTTTTTCTTATGTCCATTTCAGTAAGTTATATTTTTCTAGACATCTATCTATCAATTCTGTCTGAATTTTCAAATTTATGACATGTTGGCAAAAGGTTTTTCACAATAATCTCTTTATAATAATTGTGGCTCTTTTCACAATTATCATTGTAATGTCTGAATTCATAATTATTCATTCCAACTATTGTTTAGTTGTATCTTCCTTCTTTTCCTTAATTGACCTTGCCAGAGGATTGTCTATTTCCTTAGTTTTTTCAAAGGCCAATTTTTGGTTTTGTTGATCCCCTCACTGTTTATTTTCAATGTTACTATGTTTTGCTCTTATATTTATTCCCTTCCTTCATCTTTCTTTTAATTTATTCTGTTATTTTACATCTTAAGACTGATGTTCATTAATTTTCTGCCTTTTTCCCTTTCCTGTAAAATTATTTGAAGCTATAAATGAACTTTTAATTACTATGTTAGCTCTATCCACAGGTTTTTATACACTTTTTATTGTCATCTAATTCTTCATTTTTATCCCTATTTTTCTGAGCACTCTTACTGTGAAAAGATGTTGAATTTTGTCAAATGCCTTTTCCGTGTCCATTGAGATGATCATGTGTTTTTTCCCCTTCATCTTTCTGTTAATATGTGTATCACAGTAATTGATTTTCTTATATTGAACCATTTTTGCATTCCTGGGATTTAATCTCCCTTGGTCCTGATGTGTCGGGATTTTGATGTGCTGTTGCAGTCGGTTTGCTGGTGTTTTGTTGAAGGTATTTGCATCTAGATTCATAAGGGAGGTGGGTCTGTTGTCTCTTTCTTATGGTGTCTTTATCTGGCTTTAGTATCAGGCTAAGGCTGGCCTCATAGGATGTGTTAGAAAGTATTCCCTCCATTTTCGACAAGTTGGAAAAGAATTAGTGCTGATTCTTTTTTTTAATTGTGATTTGGGTGAAAGTTTACAGAGCAAATTGATTTTCCATACAGGAGTTCACATA